TTGTCCTGCGGACCCCAACCGCCTAGTCTGCATCGTCCTACATGGCTTGAACCAACAGTCAGAGACTTCATACATTGGTGCCATTGTTTCAGTCTGGCCACCTCGGGCCTTCTTCCAGCCTGGACCTACTTCGGCCAACATTGTATGACGAGGCAAACTATGGCTAGACATGCATAACACATGTCCCAGCCATCTCAGTCGATGACGGTTCACAATCGCGCCAACTGACTTATATCTCCTGCCTAAAACTCCACACCTGACTTCTGCGTCACTCACGTGATAACAACATTAAACGGCCTATGCTATGAAGGCAACGGTGGTCAAACACATGAAGCCTTCTCATATGTTACACCTTGAATGGCCATGTTTCACAGCCATTCAGTAGTACAGACCGGACTGCTGAGTGGTACATGCAACCCTTAATAGACAATCAGATATCACGGCGGTGCCATAGGTGGCGTAAGTTGACAAAAGCCAGCCAAGCTTTTTGTATTCGTGCAGAGATTTCATCGGCCACTCACCCACCAAGGCTGATTTGACTTCCCAAATAAGTGAACTGTTCAACGCACTCAATCACTTCACTCACTATTGTTAGACAGGGTACCGTTGGAGATCAGTCCTGGAGCAACTATTTGCATTTGGGTGATGAAAATCACATCCCAAACATTCTCGAATCACCACTCAAAGTGTTCAGAAGACTCTGTGTCTTGTCAGCATCTTCACCTAACAGGACAATGTCATCTGCATATTCTAGGTTTAACGAAAATTCTCCACCGATTAGGTCAACGTCTATGTAGTCAGGTGACGAGAGGAAGACCTCCATGAGAATATCTATGATGAAATTGAATAAGAATGGAGAGTGGGCACCCTTGACGAACACCACTCGATAGGCATAGTTCCCTGGACATCTCATCATAGGATCTAAGATGCCCACAAGTGTTTGAGTAAAGAGCCTTCAATAAGGTGATGTACTTGCTCGGCACACCTTTCAGTGAGAGACATTGACACAAGACTCCTCGATCAACGGAGTTGAATGCAGCCGCCTCCAGGTCGAGAAATACAGCTAGCGTTGGGCGTCGTAAAGCGTGCCTATGTTCCAGGACCTGGCGCAGTGTGGATATTTGGTCAATACACCCACGACCAGGTCTACAGCCTGCTTGGTTTTCTCGGGCTTGCTGTTCCCGAGCTCCACTCAGGCGTCGGAGAATTATAGAACCCAGAATCTTGGACACTATATCCGTCAGGCTGATTCCTCTGTGGTCATCAGAAGAGGACTTCTCGCCTTTCTTGAAGACTGGGATAAACAGTGACTGAGACCAGTCAGAGGAGATCGTACTTGGTTCCCATATACTGGTTAACACTTCTGTTAACCTGACTAAGAGCACTGCACCACCATCCTTGTATATATATGCCAGGAGTTAGTCCATCTGGTCCTGCCGCCCTTCCTAGTTTCACGTTACCTACTGCTTTTTCGACTTCTGCTAGTGTTGGGGGCCTATCTCAATGTTCCATTCAGCATCCGACTAGATAGCGGTCAACGTAATCGTGGCTGGAGGCCAGTTAAACTGTTCCTTGAAGTGTTCTGTCCATCGTTCCAGTCGTCTCCCCTGTGAGTGAATCGCAGATCCGTTCTTCTCCACTATAGCCTCACTAACTGTTGTTGACTTTTCCCCCCAGTCTCCTTAATAAGTCTACATAACTGTCTACTGTTTCCAGTCGCCCACGCCTTTTCCATCTCTTTAGTCTTCGCTGCCCACCACTGTTCGCGATCAATGCGTGGACTTTTTTCCAATCTACTTTTAAGTTGCGCTCGCTCTTCATTGTACTCAGAGCCTGCAGGCAGGGATGCGTTCACGTGCATCCATTAGTTTGAAAGAACCTGTTGATATCCACTGGCTCTTTGTAGCCACTATTTTGCAGTCGGTTACAGTATTCAGTGCTGCTTTTACAGCAGACTGAAGATGGCACCAAGCTTCTTCTGGATGGGTGACAGTCTTTTGTTCCGTTAACTGCCTAGTCAATTTCTCACCGAAAGCGGCTTTAGCGTTCTCGTTATCGAGCTACACTCGTAATGGTTATGTTGCCAAATGTTTCGTACATCCATTGAGACGCAGGTATATACATATACACGCTCGGACCAACGCATGATCGCTGTCTAAATACGTACTCCAGAAGGAGCGGCAGTCTTCCACCGATCCTCTCCAGCGATGACTAATAGCAATATGGTCCATCTGTATCAATCGCTGAGTTGAGCTCGGTGAACGCCACTTCAGACAGTGCCTTTCTTCATGTCTGAAATTGGTGGTGGCTTAAAATAGGCGGTTATCTGAGCATAGTTGTAACAGGCGATCACCGTTATCTGTACGTTCAGCTGGGATTTTGAAAGTGCCACCTAAGTGCCTTTCTGCCTCACTCAGTCTACCCACCTGTGCATTGAAATCATCTGCAACAACTACTACGTCTGAAAGTGTGGCTTTCGAGAGGAGGCTAGAAAGTTTTCGGTAGAACTCATCCTTCACTTCATCCGAACTGCAGTCAATGGGTGTTTGAGCAGAGATTACAAAGAGACAACGGCAAGTCTCACCATTCCTTTTAGTTCTCACTGTACCGTTTAGTCGGATAGCGCAGAAGCGACTATCAACTGGGACCTGGTCTAGTAGTGAGCTTTCTGCCCTAGTGTTTAATGCTATGCCTACACCTGCAAGACCATGAGAGCTAGCCATCAAATCTCCAGAAACTCGAAGGGTGAATTTTGCACATTCACCAGATTGGTCAGTAGAGGTTAGGTTAATAACTGCACTTGCGTCCTGTATGCAAGTCTCACAAACACAGCACACATGCATGGTCGGAGTTGCTAGAGTATTAGCCGATGAAGCCTGATGACCAATTTGACGGAGGGTGAGGACATTGAAGGCCCCGATGTGTAATTTGCAGTGTAGTTCAAGGAGACCAGAGATGCTGTTCTGTGGACTCAGATCGTTGTCGAAGACTGCAGAGCTGGGAGAAATTGAAGATGATGTAGAATCGTTAGTTGAGAGACGTGAAGAAAGATTAGAAGGTAATGATGAGGGAGATGGATAGCAGTACGGAGGAACTTGAGTGCTGATAGAGTTGTGAGGGCGGTTGATACTTTGCGGCTGCTCACACCGTGGAAGGTTATTTCTTCTTAAGGTACCTGAAAGAGATTTGTGTGACGACAGAGCCCGTTGGACATCTGCTTGAGGCCTGTCACCCACAACCTTTTGTGTGTGGTTATTTTTGTGGCTGAGCTTTCGTAACCCCTCCCCCTCCTCTTCCACTGAGAGGGCGGTATCAGCATGGCACTGCTGGTCATCCAAGGGAAACACCTTACTGCTGTCACACCCCATCCAGCTAGTAGTAGTACGACCTCGCTGTCAGACTCCCATCATAGTGTGGTAATTTACACCACAACGGTAACTGCTTTTCGTCTAACCACTATCCAACAGACCTTTCTGGTATGGTAGGACCTCGAGGGCACGAGTGTTCCACCAGCATAGCTCGTTTGGTCACTGTGATATGCAAGCCCGACTACCACGTCAAGGTAGCAGCTATCGGTTGGGTTTAGTACAGAATTTATATATTGCATTCATTTGACCTGTTTCAGTATGTTATAAACGCCAAATACATTTGTACCTAACCAAAAGTTTCATCTAACACAGTTATGCCTGATACACTGGTTAAGTAATAAGCCTCCACAATATTTATTCTCTCAAGCCGTGTTGACAACATGTCGTAATAAAGACAAAAATTGACAACACTGTTATGACAGTTAATCGTTGCTTTCGATTTAGAGGCTAAATAACCATTACCAACATAAAATGTGTACGACTACAACAATTATCCAAACATGATAGTTTGTTGGAACGTTTTAAGTTTAGGTATTCTATATGTTTACAGAGATACTTTCGAATCTTCCCCCCTGTAATTAATTGAAAGAGATTAATCTATTGGTTAGTGTATACGACGTGTAAGTTATGAACGATGTGCTATGAAGCATGTACTTTTTTCTTTAAAATATTAATTCCAATGGTCACTTTTCCAACCACTAGAATATATTTCAACCAAAAACACGATCAGGGTTTTTGTCTCATGAATAAACTGCCTTTCCAGTCAAAACATGCAAACTTGGTCGATTATAATGGTAGTTTCTAGAATGACATTTTACGTCACTCAATACCATGTCTCTGTAAGTCGCTTTCAATGATATTATTTAAGAAAAACACTTCGGCAACAGTAGACAGTTACTTAGACTTATTAAGGAAACTGGGGGCAAAAGTTCAACGACGGTTGATGAGACCATAGCGGAGAGGGACGGGTCTGCGATTCACTCGCGGAAGAGACGACTGGGATGATGAGCAGGACATTTTGAGTAACGGGCATCCAGCCACGATTGTGTTGCCCGCCATCCATTTGGGTCCTGAATGGAACATTGAGATAGGCCCCCTAACATTTGCAGAAGTCCAGAAAGCTGTAGATAACTTGAAATGAGAAAGGGCAACAGAACCAGACGGACTAACTTCCGGGGTATACATGGATGGTGGTAGAATACTCTTAGTCAGGTGGCTGGCGATGTTGCTTTTTAAATTCGTAAATTTAGTAGCTAAAACAGCTAGTCAGTGTTAATGGCCAATTTTTAAAAGTGTGAGGTTAACGAGAATGTTTTCTCTTTCAGTATGCTTCTTTTTCGAATCTTACGATAAAGATGTAGCGATATGTAGTAGTTACCAGGTCCTTGTGTTTTCTCGCAAAGCTAAGCAGGGGTGTCACTTTGTAGATCTATAGTTCATTATTTTTATCGTTCCTTAAGAGCCTGCTCTGCTGATCAACGCTTGTGCAACTATTCAATGTCTGAATGCCTGATGGTCATCGAATTTTGTGTTGCTTATGTTTTAGATTGCTTATATGGAGTCCGTTATCGCATAATTTTGTGTTGAACTTCACGTCAGTCGCTTTATCAATTACGAGTGTGAAGTTATGTTATGGTTTGTGTCCTTATTAATTTCATAAACTTTTAAGAGGAGGAGTTTAGCACCTAGTCAGCTGCATTCAGTTAAAGTGTCACCTACTGCTCAGGAGGTACTTTAAAAACTCTTATGTTAGTCTATTATTTCAGCCTCCATTCAAAACCTTCAGGACAGTTTTAAATGAGAAAAATGTTCCAGATCACTCTCCAGCAACCTACGTTTCGCCCTTTAGAAAGTCACTCATCCCGGGTGATATCAACTCACATGTACGTACGAAAAGTTTCAGTAATATAAATTTCTAGGAGGACCTTATACGAAATATATTGTCCAAGCCTTTTCGTGTCCCTATTGTAAATTATGCTGGTAAGATCTAGCACCTTTCACATTTTCAGGCAATTCAACCGACTCACGAGCTCTGGGTGTTAGACGCAGCACATCTAAAGTTGCTCTGCATAATCCACTTGAAGAAGGTGCTTTAGTTTTGTATTCACCTCCTGAAGTGACAGCCCATGACGCCCTTAAACAGGAATCGTAAGCTTGAATTTTATTCCTAAAACATCGCTTAGGACTAAACACTTAGTTCATGTCGTTGTTGATCCTATGTTATCGAAAATTCTCCGTCCGCACCAACGTGAAGTAAGTTAATTTTTTGTGGTTATTTTGTCGAAAAATGGGTTTCAGGAGAGGTATGTAACTTAGTAATGGTTACGTGACTGCTACAAACTAACCTATCTTTATCCGTACATTTTTCGGCATAGTAGTAGGTTTCGTTATTGCTATACTGGTTGACTTGCGGTTGTACTTCTCAAACTAGTTATTATTGTTAGTTCTCTTCAACACAGTTGTAACACAGTGCTTTTGTTCTTTCTACAATAAGTTTTTAACTCAACATTTTCTCGAGATTTGGCAACACAAAGCCAAGTCCGGATTTGCCTGTGAATGTTATGCATGTATTGTAAGACGATAAAGGGTAACAGTTAAATTATGTACAAGTCAGTGAACTCAGAGTCTCAACCCTCTTGTATCTTTCTATGTTGTCTTACTTGAGGTATACGCTGCGTAGGTGTAGTATTTCATTTTTACCTCAGATTATGTTGTGGGATTCTCGTCACAAAGCTCATAATTTCTTAGCATCGGAAATATCATGGATCTGGGCTTGGCTTCTATGAATGACTTAACAGTCAAAATCAATCAAGTACTAATCATCTTAATGCTTCCGGTAGTATGCAAAACCTGTCTAATCGTAACGTATCTTATTTTTATTCTCTTGTCATTACTATCTGTTCATGTTACCGAAATTACTCACCCTACAGTCTTATCAACTTATCCTACATCAAAAACATTCTTAGTGTTCTGAAACCACTCTGTCAATTTCATGTGGAGCTTTTGGTCTGAGCTCTTTACCACACTGAACAGCACACCTCACAAAATTTCTGAACTGTCAAGCCATGGATGCATGCTGTGTTTGTAGGAGACGCATTCAGTATGCGTGGGGTTATTCACTCTACTTCATCTAACCACTGTGGTGAAACTGCAACATCCGTCCTGTGAGTGTCCTTAAGATTAAATAGCTAGTTCCTGAAAACTTGATAATGTAGGTATTACACTAAGTTCTAGAGCAAAAAACCCTCTTCTTGACTGGATACCAGTCAGTTTCATTTATTCTCACGCATACTGAATTATTCCGTAAGAACTAGAAAGGATCATGACACTCACCTATGCCTGTTTGTAGTCTTTGTTTACATTTCCACTGACTGAAGTTCAGATGGTACAAAAAATGAGTTTTATCCGAAAATGACTAATTTACTACTTAAAGGAAGACGTTCAAATATATTCTTACTAGCGACAGACTTCAACACAATCGGGGAAGTATAGCCAACCGAATGGCATCCTAAGTGTATCTGCTGAGTTTTGTGCGAGAGAACCGACAACAGTTATCGTCTATGGCTTTTTTCTGACTCATTTTTTCGTAGCCAGCTCCAACTTCAAAGATGAGTAGAGACATTGTTTCACAGAGTGTTGACCGAAATCAACGCGAAAATTGACAAAGGTGTAACTGACTGTTCAACACAAAGTTACATTTAGGCTGACATCCTATTCCTGTGACCGTATCCCACAGTTATCTTCATAACGCAAATTGTATTTCTATGAGTGTAGTCACTTGACGCATAAGTGAGTATGAGTGACTACACTGGCTCACAAAATCAACGTAAAACCTCGCTCACAAGTTAGTCGGCACAAGTTGCTACACATCACAGTATTACACAAAGAACAGGCGGGTAGAAAAACAGTGATGTCAAAGAAGATAAAGTAGTGTGAGAGAATAAGAAGTAAAAGGTTAGTACGAATATTCAAGCGTTAGATGTCAGGAACTGAATACATATTCGTCATTGTGATCAATTTTCAGCCGTCACCTAGAATCCTCAACCACTGATTCCTTTCGTCTCTAGGATACCAACCAGGCAGTCTACATCTCACAAAACTCATATCAACAGTCAAAGACTTGATGCACTGGTGCTACGTGTTTGTCCGGCCAACCTGAACCCTCTTCCTATCTAATCCAACGTCCCCTAAAATGGCACGTCGAGGTAGGCAGTGGCTTGGCACGTACAGTACGTGGCTAAGCCATCTCAGTCGACTAAGGTTCACAACCTTATTAATCTTCTTGGCTGTCTTTCCTAGTACCCTTCTCCTGACCTCAACATTGCTTACACGGCGATTTCAACATACGCGAGCAGCGCTACGGAGACACTTGTGATTGAAAACATGTGACTGCTTCACATCTCTTTTTTTAATGGACATGTCTCAGCTGTACAACAGGACAAAACGGACTGCAGCACAGTATACTCGTACTTTAATAGATAGTTGGACATCTCGCCAGTGAGCGCTGCAGATGATGCAAGTTAGTAAATGCTAAACGGGCCTTCTGTATCCGAGCTGAGATTTCATCAGGATGCAATTAAAGAGGTTGACACACTGCACCACTTCAATCCCTATCCTTAGACTAGTTATAGCTGATAACTAGTCCTTGAGGACCATCTTACATTTGACATGGGTGAAATGCATACCAACCAGATATACTCAGATTTATGCTCGACCTTGCATTTTGTCAGCGTCTTCACCTAACAGGACAATATCGTCTAAGTGGTCCGAGTCAGCCAGACACCCTCCAAGAAGTAGGTCAATCCTCGTGAAGTCAGAGGCACCTAAGCTTATGTCTATTAGCACGTCGATGACGAAGTTAAATAGGAGCGGTGGCAGTAGACTTCCCTGGCAAATACCACTAGTTTTCGTCACTCCACGTCACAACTCTCTTTTAGCCCATATGCAGCTGCATGAGTTCGAGTAGTGAGCGTTGACAAGCGTTATATACCTTCTGGGTACTCCCTATGCAGTTAGACACTGCCACAACACCTCAAGGTCGACAGAGTCAGATTCAACCTTCAGGTCAAGAAATACAGAAAGTATCACGCTCCGGTAGGTATGTCTATGTTCTAAAACCTGTCGGAGGGTAAAAATTTGATCGTTCCACCCTCGTCTAGGTCTGAAACCTGCCTGGTTTTCTTGAGTTTGCTGTTCTCCAGCTCCAGTTAGACATCGGTTAACTACGAACCCTAAGATACTTAGACACGATATTGGTCTGACGAATTCGCCTTTCGTTGTCACACGAAGATTCCTCTCTATTCTTAGGGACTGGGATGATTAGTGAAGCGGACCAGTCTGATGGGACTACCCCTGATTCATACACTACTGTTACTTTACTTGGCAATTTCCTACCTTCATCCTTGAAAATTTCATGTGGCAAACTATCAGGTCCTGCTACTTTTCATCGTTTCAGATTCGATACAGCTTTCTCAACTTCAATGAGAGTTGGAGGACTAACACCTACGTCCCATTCAGGTTCAGGCTGAATGTTAGGCAACTGAAGCGTTGCTGAGGGCCAATTGAACTGTGCTTCAAAGTGTTCTGTCCAACGTTGTAGCCGGCTGTCTAGGGAGGTTATCAGCCTCCCTTCCTTTCGTCTAATTGCCGGTATTTTTAATAAGCCTGAATAGCTTCCGAATGTTAGCCAACGCTGATGCCTTCTCTATTTCTTTCGGTTTCGTCACCCACCACTGCCCGCAATCATTGCAAGGACTCTTTTTCAACTTACGTTTAAGTTGCTTTTACTCTTCATCGTGGTCAGAGGTAGTTAGAATCAGTCTTCTCGCATAAATCAGTTCGGATGACATCGCGGAAATTCCATGACGTTTGCAAACTTTCGAGTGTAAGCTACCGATTGTTTTTACCACTGTCTCTACAATGGACTTAGCATCACGCCCGGTTTCTTCAGGATAAGCATTGCTGTCATGGTCAGATAACTGCTTAGCTAACTGCTCATTAAATGTTTGCTTGGCATCCTCATCTACCAATCAAGCACAGATACGCTTTATTTCCTCCTACCTCTCACCGACAGTAAGGCGCAGACGCACATTAGCTCGTACTAGCGCGTGACAAGAGTCCATACTGGTACTCCAGAAAAAGCAGCAACCCTACAACGATGGCTTAAAGCTATGTGATCTATCTGTATCCATCATTGGTTTGGTGTCGGCGGACGGCATGTGAAACAGTCTCTGTCCTTATACCTAGAGTTAATGCTGGCCAGGAACAAGTGATTGTTGGAACAGAATTGCAACAGATTATCACCGCTGTTGGTTCGTTGACATGGGATTCCGTAAATATCCTGAAGATGCCTTTCCAATTGGCTCAGCGTCCCTACCTGAGCGTTAGAGCCACCTACCATTATGACTTCATCTGAATCTTTTGCCTTCTGTAGCAAGTTTGACAGCTTCCCATGAAATTCGTCCGTCGCATCATTCGAACTGAAGTCAGTGGGCGTGCAGGGGGCATCGGTTGGTCTCATGATCCTTCCTTGTTTTTCCAAATCCATTTAATCGAACAGCACATAGACGGCTGTTGACTGGTATATCTAGTCGAGAAGAGTACTTACCACTCTACAACTCAATGATATGCCTACGCCAGCAAGTCGGGTCTCCGAATACTCTTGAGGTCTATTCCGAAGCTTCACTACTGTGGGTATGTGAAGTCAATTTCATAACCACTCTCAGCTCCTGTATACATATTTCAGAGAAATAAGAGGCTTGTTATTAGTATCAGAAGGTAGAAGCAAAATAGGAGACAATGTTGAGGGGATAAGTTATGTTTGATCGTATGGGCGGTTGGCAATTTCCGGTTGCTCACACCGTGGCAAGCTATTTTTTCTTATGATACCTGAAAAAGAAGAGAGTGTGTGACCTCAGAGCCCATGGAACATCTGCTTGAAGCCCATCACATACGACTTTTTGGTAATTTTGAGCTTTTATTGTTTTGCTTTTGTATCCGACCATGAGCTCCTGATGAATGCTGCGGGGGGGGGGTGGAGGTGTGTTGTTCTTGTGGCCGACCTTTCTAATCCCTTCTTACATCGAGAAAGCAGCATCAGGGTGACACTGCTAGTCATCCAAGGGAAACACCGTACTGTTGTCATACCCCATCCAATTAGCAGCAGTATGACTTCACTCTCAGGCCCACATCATGGTGTAGTAATTTGCACTACAAATATAACTGCTTTTCGTCTTACCGCTATCCAACGGACC